TGTCAATTTATATATTTTTATTCCTTATTTACTTGTTCTATTTTATTTTTATTATCTGTGTTTTTTGTTCTGTCACTGTCATTCTGTTACACTGTGGAAGCTTCTGTCACGAAAACAAATTCCTCGTATGTGTAAACATACCTGGCAATAAAGCTCATTCTGATTTTGATCAAAATCAACAAAAGAGCAATGATATACAAGTGCTATAATATATCTCAGTTAGCTTAATGCAGTAGCCTACACGTAGCAAGTTTAAAAAAAAAATAATATAATAAATAAAGAGCAAGCTAGTGTTAGAGGTCTTTTTGCTTTAGTTAATTGTATAATAAATGAAAAGATGAAAAGAAGAATACAAAAAGATTAGAAAGTAAGTGTTAATTTTTTGTTGTTGAATGAATGAATAGTGCAAGTCTAAAAGTCTAAAAGGTTTGTTTTTTTAAGAATAGAATTAGAATAGAGAGTGCTAGAGTTAGAGGGTCAAATAAAGATGGAAGAGATGTGTTTTTAGCAGATTCTTGAAGATGGCTAAGGACTCCGCTGCTCGGATTGAGTTGGGCAGGTCATTCCACCAGGAGGGAACATTTCATTTAAAGATGATGCGATTTCAATTTTTCCTCTCTCTTTGAAGTGTTACAAGCTCTTGGTGCATAAAGAAGATCTGTAAAGTTGCAAAGACTAAAGTCTCAAATCCAAAGAGATATTCTTTATAAAAGTTAAGTGTCAACCACGCTTACTGTGTGGGAAGATTTGCATAATGCTGCCCAAATGCTGCGCCGTTCTCTAGCCCGCCAGCCTCCACTCACTCTAGCCCACCGTGTGTGACGCTGTGTGTTTCGTTGTGAAAGCGAAACTATTTTGTTTGGCCTTCCAAAAGAGGACATGACTAGAAATCAGTGGTTAAGTTGTATTTACAACACTGTTCCAGAACAGTTCAACCCCAGACACAGGAACAGTTTCTTCCCTCAGGCAATCCATCTCATGAACACTTAACAATAACTGTGGAACACACACTATTTATTCACTCATACACTTATCTAACACACATACTCAGTCTACACCTCAAATTTGCACATAATATTCAGTACCTGTACATACAAAAACTGTCTATTGTAATATACCTGCACATACAACTGTCAATTTATATATTTTTATTCCTTATTTACTTGTTCTATTTTATTTTTATTATCTGTGTTTTTTGTTCTGTCACTGTCATTCTGTTACACTGTGGAAGCTTCTGTCACGAAAACAAATTCCTCGTATGTGTAAACATACCTGGCAATAAAGCTCATTCTGATTTTGATCAAAATCAACAAAAGAGCAATAATATACAAGTGCTATAACATATCTCAGTTAGCTTAATGCAGTAGCCTACACGTAGCAAGTTTTAAAAAAAAATAATATAATAAATAAATAGAGCAAGCTAGTGTTAGAGGTCTTTTTGCTTTAGTTAATTGTATAATAAATGAAAAGAAAACAGATAGAATACAAAAAGATTAGAAAGTAAGTGTTAATTTTTTGTTGTTGAATGAATGAATAGTGCAAGTCTAAAAGGGACAAATGTTTGTTTTTTTAAGAATAGAATTAGAATAGAGAGTGCTAGAGTTAGAGGGTCAAATAAAGATGGAAGAGATGTGTTTTTAGCAGATTCTTGAAGATGGCTAAGGACTCAGCTACTCGGATTGAGTTGAGGCAGGTCATTCCACCAGGAGGGAACATTTAATTTAAAAGTCCGTAAAAGTGATTTTGTGCTTCTTTGGGATGGCACAATAAAGCGACGTTCACTTCCAGAACGCAAGCTTCTAGAGGGCACATCATTCTGAAGTAATGAATTTAGGTAAAGGGGTGCAGAGCCAGCGGTGGTTTTGTAGGCAAACATCAATGCCTTGAATTTAATAGCTATTGGCAGCCAGTGCAAATTAATAAACAGAGGTGTGACGTTCATTCTTTTTGGCTCATTAAAAATTAATCTCGCTGCCTTTCATTCATTCATTAAAGCAGTAACAACTTGTCTCACTTTATCACAACTGCTCTAAAGAGTTTTGTATTACTTAAATTGCAACAAACATTTGCAATAAACCTAAAATCACAGTCTCACTTTTGCTAAAAATCTGTCCCACTTGAACAGTTACAGTGAAAAGCAGTGCCTTACTGTGTCTATCAGTAAGTCTATCATTATCCTAGACGTTGAGAGTATAAAGCTTTTATTCATCACAAATTTACCCCCCCCCCCCAAAAAAAAACACTCCCCCT